ACGTTGTATGGGGAGCAGGGTCGGGGGCTCGCCGCGTACCGGGCGCGTAGTGGCCATAGGTGGCGTTGCGCAGCTCCTCCCAACCCACACGCCCGTCGCGGTCCGTGTCGTACGTGTCCCAGGCCGTGCTCACCGAGTCCCGTATGTGCCGCTGCTGGGTGTGCGCGATCCACGCGCGAAGCTCGGCCAGCGATACCCAGCCGTCGCCGTCCCCCGCGCGGTCCATGCGGTCCACGATCCGCCTACGAGCACAAGTCAGTCTCTGGTCCCGCCCCAGGCCCCGCCCCTCGCACGGGGCCACGCCCCCTGGGACACATCGGATCCGCGGGTGAACTGGGGAGGGACGCGTGTCAATTTCGGGACCAAACCCAGCGGAGGACCCTCAGCCTAGGGTCCACCCCCGGGACAAGTCACGCCCTTCCTGAAAACGAGCGGGCCTGCTGGGAGCCCTGCGTGGGAGAGACCTACGACGATGCAGGGCCACCCTCTCCGCGCCGGCCCCGCCCTCGGCCCGCACGTGCTGCACCTCTAGCTGGGCTGAGCTGTGGTGGTGATGGGGAGCGCGGCGTCGCACTGCGCCCCTTGCCAGGGGGCCCTGTTCCAAGACTGACTTTGAACCCAGACAGCCACGGCCACACCCCCGAGCCCCGGCTGTCTCAGGCCCCAACCCGCCCCATACCCCGCCCCCTTACCAGGCTGCGCGTGTCAATTTCAGGCTCCTATCCCTCCAGCCCTGCCCTGTGCTGCGCCTGGTGGCTTTCTCCTGCCTGCTCCCGGCTGAATCAGGCACTGCCCGAGGACCATCACCCGCAACCCCAGGGGCTCGGTCTCTCTATACCCCTCGCCATGCTCCTCGGGGCTCCTGTGCCCCTCCCCGTCACATGTCAAGCCACTTAGGTTCCATCTCGCCCTTCTCTCGGGCCACGCTTGTCAGCTCCCCGGCCCTTCTCCTCTCCATGTCAGGCCGGTCCTCGCCCAATCTCTAATTAACAGAGGAGCCCTCCTCCCTGTCACCGTCCCTAGCGCCCGCGGCCCCCTCCCTAAGGTCGAAAATCTGAGACAGAAAAAAAAAAAAAAAAGAAAGAAAATCTGAGACAGCAGAGCCCTCTCCAGGCCTGCCTGAGTCACCGCCCCACCTCCCGCACCAGGTGGTCTCTGCTCCGGTCTGTCAAGGGCCGACTCTGTTCCCAGATTCACACCCTTCTCTGAAGTTACTGCTGTTGTTAAGAGCTTGGGCTCCACAGCCAGACATTTTAGGTCCAAATCCAGCCACTTCCTCTTACTGGCTGGGTGACTGTGGGCAAGTGACTTAACCTCTCTTGTGCCTCGGTCACCCCTCTGTAAAATAGAGAGAAAAAATGGTACCTACCCCAAAGGGCAGCTCTGGGGAATAAATGAGTTTGGCCATGGAAAGCACTTAGGACAGGACAGGCGTGGTGACTCACACCTGTAATCCCAGGCTTGGCAAGCCAAGACGGGCGGATCGCTTGAGATCAGGCCTTCCAGACCAGCCTGGCCCACACAGTGAAACCTCATCTCTATTAAAAAACACAAAAATTAGCCGGGCGTGGTGGCCCGAACCTGAAATCCCAGCTACTCCAAGGCTGACACGGGAGAACTGCTTGAATACAGGAGGTGGAGGTTGCAGTGAGCCCAGATAGTATCACTGCACTCCAGCCTGGGCAACAGAGTGAGACTCCGTCTCAAATAATGATGATAATAATAATATAATAGGCCGGGCACGGTGGCTCACGCCTGTAATTTCAGCACTTTGGGAGGCCGAGGTGGGCAGATCACCTGAGGTCAGGAGTTCAAGACCAGCCTAGCCAACATGGTGAAACCTCATATCTACTAAAAATACAAAAATTAACTGTGCGCAGTGGTAGGTGCCTGTAATCTCCACTACTTGGGAGGCTGAGGCAGGAGAATCGCTTGAACCCAGGAGGTGTAGGTTGCAGTGGGCTGAGATCGTGCCACTGCACTCCGTCCTGGGCAACAAAGTAAGACCTTGTCTCGGCCGGGCGCGGTGGCTCAAGCCTGTAATCCCAGCACTTTGGGAGGCCGAGGCGGGTGGATCACGAGGTCAGGAGATCGAGACTATCCTGGCTAACATGGTGAAACCCCGTCTCTACTAAAAATACAAAAAACTAGCCGGGCGTGGTGGCGGGCGCCTGTAGTCTCAGCTACTTGGGAGGCTGAGGCGGGAGAATGGCGTGAACCCGGGAGGCGGAGCTTGCAGTGAGCCGAGATCACGCCACTGCACTCCAGCCTGGGAGACACAGCGAGACTCCGTCTCAAAAAAAAAAAAAAAAAAAAAAAAAAAAAAAAAAAGACCTTGTCTCAAAATAAATAAATAAATAAAAGGGCCAAAGGTCCTCTTCATGCCTCAATTTTAACTTAATTTGCTTTTCCCAAGGAGAGAAGGTAGAATTTCATTTCTCACAAAGAACTGAAGTTCAGTCCACGCCATTTCTCTGACCCCTGTCAATACCCCCGCAACTCTCTCCCAAACCCCACCTCCGAACACGCCCCAACCGCGTGTCTCTCCTACCCCAGACGGGCCTGGCTTTCCTCTGGGGTGAGTTGGTCGAATTCCTTGGCCACTTCCCGTCCCAGGAAAGCCTCATGGTCGTACTGGAAGTTCCCGTGAGAGTCATCATGGGGGGCGTCACTCAGGGGGGCCGCCTGGTGCACCCTCCCCTGGCCATGAGGGCCTGCGTCTGGGGACGGTTTCCCCTGGGCCCCGTGCCTCAGTAACAACAGAAGCAGCAGAAGCGATGCTCGCCACATCATCGGTCCCTGGGGAGTGGCAAAGGCCAGGGGTCAGGGGTTACAGGTATGAGGACAGACATGGGACAGGAGAATGGCGGGGTGGAGGGGTTACCTAGGACAGGACAGGGAGATGGAAGTTGGCTACAAACTTTGGGGCTCAAAAAGGGCGGGCGATGGGGGAAAAGAGGGCGTGATGCTTAGAGGTAAAGCCACCTATGGGGGGACCGACTCTTCTGACGGAGTCTCAGGGGGTCCCAGACCTGCGAGGGGGAATTTCAGGGAGAGACGTGGCGCACATCCCACGCAAAGTACAGGGCATAGTTGTGGCCAGCCAGAGGTCAGGGAGGCTCCCCGTCATTGCTCCCAGTCCGGACCCTGATCCTCGACCCGAGCCGCCCCGAGCCGCCCTGCCTGGACTGAGGTACCCCCACCCACTCCCTTTACCCAGTCATCCAGCTTCGTTCCGCTCTCCACGCTGGGCTCTGCGTTCCCGCAAAAGTGCCCAATTCGGCCGCTCTCCAGTCAGGCCCCGCCTCCGGCGGCGCAGAGCCCCGCCCCCGCCCAATGAGCTCGCACGAGCGACTCACGGGGCGGGGCCAACGAGTGCCGGGAAGGCCACAGGCGCCCCTCGCCACGTCCACAAAGGAAACCGCGGCCTGCCCGGGGAAGGCGGGTGGGCGACGCCGCAGTGACGCGGCCGGGGAGAACTACAACTCCTGTCAGTCGTCGCGGCACTCTGCCGTCCACCTCCAGCTGTTCTAGCCCCAACGCCTCACGGGAAATGTATTTTTCCCTCTTTCCCTTTGTCAGGAGGGTTTAAGAAAGAGGTGTACGTCCCAACAGTCCTATACCAAAAAAAAAAAAAAAGAAAAAAGAAAAAAGAAAAGAAAAGAAAGAAAAGAAAAGAAGGCCGGGCGCAGTGGCTCACGCTCACGCCTGTAATCGCAGCACTTTGGGAGACCGAGGCGGGCGGATCACCTGAGATCGGGAGTTCGAGACCAGCCTGACCAAAATGGAGAAACCCCGTCTCTACTAAACATACAAAATTAGCTGGGTGTGGTGGTGCATGCCTGTAATCCCAACTACTTTGGGAGGCTGAGGCAGGAGAATCGCTTCAACCCAGGAGGCGGAGGTTGCGGTCAGCCGAGATCGCGCCATTGCATTCCAGCCTGGGCAACAAGAGCGAAACTCCATCTCAAAAAAAAAAAAAAAAAAGAAAAAAAAAAGGAAAAAAAAAAAAGGACGAGCCAAATCGAGGGGCTGGAGGAAATACCCCATTTCCTCCAAGAGTGAACAGTGCTCCTCGCTCCTCTTCTGCTCCAGCGATTCAGATGGTCAGACAGTGGCCAAGAATTCCTCAAAATGCCTGGCACGGCAGTTATCCAGTAAACATTTGTAAAAGTTATGAATTAAAAATACATGAGCACAGTAGCTCAACGCCTGTAATCCCAGAGTACAGTAGCTCAACGCCTGTAATCCCAGAACTTTGGGAGGCTGAGGCAGGTGGATCACCTAAGGTCAAGAGTTCCAGACCAGCCTGACCAACATGGTGAAACTCCCGTCTCTACTAAACATACAAAATTAGCCAGGTGTGGTGGCGCATGGCTGTAATCCCAGCTACTGGGGAGGCTGAGGCAGGAGAATCGCTTGAACCTGGGAAGCAGAGGTTGTGGTGAACCGAGATCAAGCCACTGTACTCCAGCCTGGCAGCCTGGGCTATAGAGCAAGATTCCACCTCAAAAAAAAAAAAAAAAAAAAAAAAAAAAAAAGAACAGGCTGGGCGCAGTGGCTCACACCTGTAATCCCAGCACTTTGGGAGGCAGAGGCGGGTGGATCACCAGGTCAGAAGATCGAGACTATCCTGGCTAACATGGTGAAACCCCATCTCTACTAAAAATACAAAAAATTTTCCAGGTGTGGTGGCAGGCACCTGTAGTCCCAGCTACTTGGGAGGCTGAGGCAGAATGATGTGAACCCAAGAGGTGGAGCTTGCAGTGAGCCAAGATCACGCCACTGCACTTCAGCCTGGGCAAACAGAGCAAGACTCCGTCAAAAAAAAAAAAAAAAAAAGAAAGAAAAAGAAAATACATGACCTGATGTATAAAACTGGCAGGTTCCCCCGTGGCAGCATGTTACCTGTAGGAGAGATCTGAGCCTCAGCGGCCATTCAGTCCCCTGATTTATTCCCTTACCTCCCCTGCCTGAAAAATGATGAGAACACACTGATTCGGGCCCAAACTCGTGTTATATTATCGAGGTGGAAAAGAGCCATATGTATTAGGAGGGGAAACTGAGGCAGACCACAGGACGGGGCTCCAGAGGGAGGACAACAGGGCCCAGGACCCCTTCTGGAGGCTCAGAGATGCCAGTGTTCCAGGAGGTCTCACAGCATGAAAGGGGCCTGACTACATTCGCTTTTAGCAGTCGGAATGGCAGATGGTCAGGCAGTGGCTGGGATCACATTTATATCCTTCGAATCAGCATCCTGGGCCTCCCCCGGGGTGGGCAGGAGGGACCCGGTGTCATCTCCACGGAGGGAGATCCAAGGGGCTGTGGAGAGAGAGGGGGAGGTCATCAGAATCTCTGAGGTGCTCTGGGTCTGACTGGCATCCCCCATTTCTGTGTGTGTCTCACACACACTCCCTCAGTCTCTAACCCCTTCCTTCTGGGCCTGTCTCCCCTTCTCCCAATTTTCCATCCCCCCTCTTTCTACATCTTTGCCTCCCTCCTCGGGGTCTCTGTCTCCCCCTTCCTCTGTCCCCTCTCTCTGTGCCTCTGTTCCCCCGTCTCTGGGTTTCTGTCTCCACTTCTCTCTGGTCTCTGTCCTCCTCTCTTTGGGTCTGTCCCCACACCAGGTCTCTCCTCCCAGGTCTGTGTGCCCCTCTCTTGGGGTCTCTGTCCCTCTCTCCAAGGCTCTTCCTCCCGCTGCCCACACCTGGCAGCCCACTCCTCATCCTTCTCCACAACAGAGCTCCTCCTACAGCCGCTGCCGTGAGTAGCAAGACACCGATGACGATTCCCACCACGAGCACCGAGGACTTGGCTGGAGTTTCTGCAGCCAGAGAACGCTGTGAGATGTGGAGCAGCCCGTCCACCCCCACCCAGTCAGGACACAGCACTGGGGGGGTCCCAGTCCCTCCCAGCCTCGGAGATCCCAGCACCAAGTGTCTGATGGACAGAGGCAAGGCCAGGCGGGCGATCTCGGCAGGGTGCCCCCAGGCTGGATGTAAGAACCAGCCACAGCACGAGCGGCCGCCGTGGTCACACTGGCAATGGACCAGCAGCGGCAGGGTGGGGCTGTCCCGGCGCAGCGGGGAGAGGCAGGCAGAGCAGTGGGAAGTCAGCCTCATGGGCCCCGGCAGTAGCAAGGCAGCAAGTGGTCAGTCTTGGTGAGGACGGGCATAGCAGACAACGAATGGTCAGATTCCAGGAAGACCTGCAGCTGCAGCAGCAGCAGGATGGAAGACGGTCAGACTCAGGGAGGACTGGCCATGGTGGTTAACAGCTCTTCAGACTCAGTGAGGCCAGAAGCAGCAGGACGGAAGGCAGTCGGCCTTGGGAAGGACAAGGCATCAGGCTTTGGGGGCACTGAAAGGCGCGAGGCACAAGGCAGTCAGATTCAAGGAGATGGCAGCAGCGGGGAGGAAGGTCAGACTCAGGAAGGACCGGCAAAGCAGTGAGACAAGGCAACGGGAAACCAGGAGCATCACCACCGGGCGGGGCCTCACCCAGCTCCACCCTGAGGGGCTGCGCCAGCCCCGCGTGCTGCACGATGCAGCAGTAGTGGTGCTCATCGCCACTTTTGACTGTTAGTGACGACGAGGCGTGGAAGGAGCCGTCACTGTTGGGGCCGAAGTCGCCCTGTCCCGGTGCCAGCGGCCATCCCATTCCGCAGGAACCGCAGTTGCAGTTCCGGAGGGTAGAAGGAGAAGGCGCTGCAGGTAAGCACGGAAAAGCCAGGGTTGCCGGGTCGGGCCTTCAGGCGCATGGAGGGGGGCTCTGCAGGAAACCAGGCAGACAGGTCTAAGCCCCGAGCCCACCACTCCCAGGGCCAGGGCTGGGTAATGACAGAAAGAGGCCTCCATGTTTGCAATGTGCTAACACCGGATAATGTGGTGGTAAAAGAGGAGGCGCTTCCCAGGTGACAGAGACTGAACCTATCCACCCTGAAGGTGTCCCCTCAAGATGTCACCTCCCTGGGCTGGGCATGGTGGCTCACGCCTGTAATCCCAACACTTTGGGAGGCCAAAGTGGGTGGATCACCTGGGGTCAGGAGTTTGAGACCAGACTGGCCAACGTGGTGAAACCCCATCTCTACTAAAAATACAAAAATTAGCTGGGCACCTGTAGTCCCAGCTACTCAGGAGGCTGAGGCAGGAGAATCGCTTGAACCTGGAAGGCAGAGGTTGCAGTGAGCTGGGATCGTGCCACTACACTCCAGCCTGAGTGACAGAGCGAGACCCCGTCTTGGGGAAAGGAAAAAAAAAAAGATAGAGGATAATTATGAAAAATTCCATACTAACACATTTGAAAATTTAGATGAACTGAACACATTCTTGATAAATACAATCTTCTAAACTGACACAAGAGGAAATTTAAAATGTCAGCAGTCCTGTAAGTATTTACATTTTTTTTTTTTTTGAGACGGAGTCTCGCTCTGTCGTCCAGGCTGGTGTGCAGTGGCAGGATCTCTGCTCACTGCAAGCTCCGCCTCCCAGGTTTAGGCCATTCTCCTGCTTCAGCCTCCCGAGTAGCTGCAACTACAGGCGCCCGTCACCACGCCGATAGTTTTTTGTATTTTTAGTAGAGATGGGGTTTCACCATCTTAGCCAGGATGTTGGTCTCAATCTCCTGACCTCGTGATCTGCCCGCCTCAGCCTCCCAAAGTGCTGGGATTACAGGCATGAGCCACCACGCCCGGCTTTTTTTTTTTTTTTTTTTTTCTGAGATAGAGTCTTGCTCTGTCACCCACGCATGATCTCAGCTCACTGCAACCCCCGCCTCCTGGGTTCAAGTGTTTCTTCTCTCTCAGTCTCCCGAGTAGCTGGGACTACAGGTGCACACACCACCACACCAAGTAATTTTGTTTTTAGTAGAGACAGGGTCTCACCATATTGGCCAAGCTGGTCTCAAATTCCTGACATTGTGATCTACCCACTTCAGCCTCTCAAAGTGTTGGGATTACAGGCGTGATGCACCGTGCCCGGCCTATTTAAAATGTTTAATCCGCCGGGCGGTGGCTCACGCCTGTAATCCCAGCACTTTGGGAGGCCGAGGCGGGCGGATCACAAGGTCAGGAGATCGAGACCACGGTGAAACCCCGTCTCTACTAAAAATACAAAAAATTAGCCGGGCACGGTTGTGGGCGCCTGTAGTCCCGGCTACTTGGGAGGCTGAGGCAGGAGAATGGCGTGAACCCGGGAGGCGGAGCTTGCAGTGAGCCGAGATCGCGCCACTGCACTCCAGCCTGGGCGACAGAGCGAGACTCCGTCTCAAAAAAAATAAATAAATAAAATGTTTAATCCATAGTTTAAAACTTTCCGAAAACTGGCCGGGCGCGGTGGCTCAAGCCTGTAATCCCAGCACTTTGGGAGGCCGAGACGGGCGGATCACGAGGTCAGGAGTTCGAGACCATCCTGGCTAACACAGTGAAACCCCGTCTCTACTAAAAAATACAAAAAACTAGCCAGGCGAGGTGGTGGGCGCCTGTAGTCCCGGCTACTCGGGAGGCTGAGGCAGGAGAATGGCGTAAAAACCCGGGAGGCGGAGCTTGCAGTGAGCTGAGATCCGGCCACTGCACTCCACCCTGGGCGACATAGCGAGACTCCGTCCAAAAAAAAAAAAAAAAAAAAACTTTCCGAAAACTAAAATTCCAGGTCCGTAAGACATCAATTAGTGAATTCTTCCAATGTAGAAGAAATGATTCTACTCCTACGCAAACTCTTCAGGCAATAAAACAGAGGAAACACTCTCCCAGCATATTTTATGAGGTCAGCATCATCTTGACAACAAAGGACATTATAAGAAAGAGAACTTAAGGCCAATGTCTCTCATAAAATAGATTCAGGATGGGTGCAGTAGCTCACACCTGGAATCCCAGCATTTTGGGAGGCCAAGGTGGGCGGATCAGGAGGTCAGGAGATCAAGACCATCCTGGCTAACACAGTGAAACTCCATCTCTACTAAAAATACAAAAAAATGAGCCGGGTGTGGTGGCGGGCGCCTGTAGTATCAGCTACTCGGGAGGCTGAGGCAGGAGAATGGCGTGAACGCGGGAGTCGGAGCTTGCAGTAAGCCGAGATCACACCACTACTCTCCAGCCTGGGCGACAGAGTGCGACTCCATCTCAAAAAAGAAAAAAAAAAAAAAAAGCTACATCAAATCAAGAGTGAGGTACTGACACTAAGTCCAATAATCAGCAGAATAGGAGAGGGTCAGAAGCAGATCCACACCTTACACACAAAACACACTCCCCTGCAGTCCAGTGAGGGAGAGGGGATGATGGTCTAGCAACAAATGATGCTGGCTGGACATATGAACCTCAACTCCTACCCTCATCATAACAGGCAATTAACTCAAAATCAATGGTATCACTAAATGTGGAAGCTATTCATCAACTAAGCTTCTAGAAGACATAGGTGAATACCTTTCTCGGAGGAAAGATTCCTTAAAGAGAATACACAACAAAGCTACAGAATCAAAGATAAAATTGAGCTTTATAAATTAAAATTTATAAACTTGGGGCCAGGCACAGTAGCTCACACCTGTAATCCCAGCACTTTGGGAGGCTGAGGCGGGTGGGTCACAAGGTGAGGAGTTCAAGACCAGCTTAGCCAATATGGTGAAACCCCATCTCTACTAAAAATACATAAAATTAGCTGGGCATGATGGCAGGCGCCTATAGTCCCAGTTACTCAGGAGGCTGAGACAGGAGAACCACTTGAACTCGGAATGCGAAGGTTGCAGTGGGCAGAGGTTGCACCATTGCATTCCAGCCCGGGCGACAGAGCAAGACTCCGTCTAAAAAAAAAAAAAAAGGCCGGGCGCGGTGGCTCACGCCTGTAATCCCAGCACTTTGGGAGGCCGAGGCGGGCGGATCACAAGATCAGGAGATCGAGACCATCCTGGCTAACTCGGTGAAACCCCGTCTCTACTAAAAATACAAAAAACTAACTGAGCGTGGTGGCTGGCGCCTGTAGTCCCAGCTACTCGGGAGGCTGAGGCAGGAGAATGGCGGGAACCCGGGAGGCGGAGCTTGCAGTGAGCGGAGGAGATCGCGCCACTTGCACTCCAGCCTGGGCGAGAGCGAGACTCCGTCTCAAAAAAACAAAAAAACAAACAAACAAACAAAATTCATAAACTTTATAAAATGTATAAATTGAAATAGATAAACTGAACTTCACCAAAATTAAGAATTTTTGTTCATCCAAAGGTTTCGTTAAGGGAGTGAAAAAAGGTTGGGTGCAGTGGTCTCACGCCTGTAATCCCAGCACTTCGGGAAGCTGAGGCAGGAGGATCACTGGAAGCCAGGAGTTCAAGACCAGCCTGGGCGACATGGAGAAACCCGTCTCTGAAAAATTTTAAAAATTAACTACGTGTGGGGGTACACACCTGTGGCCCCATCCCTTCAGGGAGGCTGAGGTAGGAAGATCGCCTGAGCTTGGGAGGTTGAGGCTGCAGTGAACTCTAATCCCGCTACTGCACTCCAGTCTAGGCAACAGTGCAAGTGCCTGTCTCAAAGAAAAAAAAAAAAAAAAAGCGGGTGCGGTGGCTCATACCTGCAATCCCAGCACCTTGGGAAGTCAAGGCAGAAAGATCCCTTATGCCCAGGATTTCTATTTTTTGGTTTTTTTTTTGAGATGAAGTCTCTGTCTGTTGCCCAGGCTGGAGTGCAGTGGCACGATCTTGGCTCACTGCAACCTCTGCCTCCCGGGTTTAAGCAATTCTCCTGCCTCAGCCTATCAAGTAGCTGGGATTACAGGCGCCCACCACCACACCCGGCTAATTTTTGTATTTTTAGTAGAGACAGGGTTTCACCATATTGGCCAGGCTGGTCTTGAACTCCTGACCTTGTGATCCGCCTGCCTCAGCCTCCCAAAGTGCTGGGATTACAGGCATGAGCCACCAGGCCCGGCCAAACCCAAGACTGCTAGGCCAGCCTGGGCAACAAAGTAATACCCCATCTCTACAAAAAAATAGAAAATGTTAGCCAGGCATGGTGGCGTGTGCCTGTAGTCCCTGCTACTTGGAAGGCTGAGGCGGGAGGACTGCTTAAGCTTGGGAGTCCAAGGCTACATGGAGCTATGACAATGTCACTGCACTCCACTTCAGTCTGGGTGACAGAGCAAGATCCCAGCTAAAAAAGAAAAAAAAAAAAAAAAAAAAAGGCAAAGATTTCAGCAACTGCCTAGGGCTGGGCATTACTGCCCAAGTTCCCTTCAGGGAGGGTAGATCTGGACAATCGTGGGTCTTGGCTGGGATCGTGGTTTTGGTTGCTCAGCAGAAAACATTTGCTGCTTGAGGAAAGCCTAGCAGCTTCTCTCTCCTGGAGCTGCCTCTCTGGCAAGTTGGCAGAATTTGCTGCACAGTCAAGTGGAAGGGAGGGCCAGGCTGACCGCCATCAGCAGTTCTGGCTTCTGCTTTATGTTTACTATTCTTTTCAGCAAATCTGTATCTTCCTGTGTCGCGCTCAAAGCCGCGTGCCTTTAGCCTCCAAGGTAGCTCCAATATAGACTAAATCCAAGCACAGAAAATCTGTCTGGCCTTTGGTTCTGTTTTTTTTTTTTTTGAGACGGAGTCTCGCTGTGTCTCCCAGGCTGGAGTGCAGTGGCGTGATCTCGGCTCACTGCAAGCTCCGCCTCCCGGGTTCACGCCATTCTCCTGCCTCAGCCTCCCAAGTAGCTGAGACTACAGGCGCCCGCCACCACGCCCGGCTAGTTTTTTGTATTTTTAGTAGAGACGGGGTTTCACCATGTTAGCCAGGATAGTCTCGATCTCCT